AATATTTTTATTTCTTGCTTTTGAAGTTCATATGTCATGCTGTGTTGCAGCCTACAAAGTGCATAATACTTCTCATGATTTAAAGCATGTGTATATTTTACTAATATCACAAAGTACAAATTTCAATGTTAAGCATCTTTTAGGTTACATCATTTAAGTATCTACTGACAGACAGACAGACAACACTGTACAGCGATGTGAGTGGTTAAAACAGGTGACCTCTGCAGGCAGCCTTCAGCATCCTTTTGGGGAAATAACAAATACTTCAACTAAAGTTTAATATTTTACTTTATATAATTGCAGATTTTGGAGGCTGCCATTTTCCTCTCATCTTCCTCCTCTTTGGAATGATGTATAAGCATAAAGAAAGATACATGCATGTGAGATAGTTTAATGTGACACATTTCTGAGCCAAGTGCTGTACGATATGCTACAGATTCTTGTGACTAAAGGCAGTCCAATTTCATGGATAAATACTTAAAACATCTATGAAAATTTTATGTAGATACTTAGAGAAATTAGAAATTCTGTGGGATTATAGAAAACATCTTCTGTGTTTAATATTTGCAGTAATAAAGGCTTCTTATTACAAAAATAGGCATAAATATATCAAACAAATGATGAATAAAATATTTCCATACTAATGTATCAAGCACTTTGTTGGTAAAATCAAATCAAAAATAGATAAACATAATTTATATATGCAGTACAAATAATTCCGTAATAAACAAGACATTAATTTGTTTGTTTTATAGCAAAGGCACATTGAGCTGTCTGCTTTGTCCACCATGGGGAACCTAACCTCAGATTTTAGTGTTGTAAGTTTATAAACTTACCAGTGTCCCACTTACCCTGGTTTGAAATTATCAAAAGTATAATAATTATGGGGTTTTGTGTCCTTTTTAATTCACCATATCATGACCTAATTAAAATACTTAAACTCTTGTTGTTATTTATAAACATTACTACATTAGACAAAGATTGTATATACAGTTCATCACAACTTTAATAATCATTATGTAACTATTTCCAGGAAAAGGTATCTGAAACATGTCACTAACAAAACAATCAGTAATTGAGAAATCTGTCTTCCAGACTGCCTTTTTAATAGTGCTTTTCTTTTAAGAGCAAATAAATCTCAAAAGATATTAATTTTCCTAGAGAATATAGGCTCCATGATGTCTGAGGAGTTCTGTTGTCTGCAGATTTGAACTGCTACTACGAAACATGGCCAAATGTAAGGCATATCATTGTACTAACAATAAGAATGATAACCAGGGATTACATTTTACCAAAACATCTGTCAGATCCTAAGTATAATCCAGAAAGAAATGGTTAGATAACCTAGGAACAGAACACACCATGAAGAGATTTCCTATAGATTAAAAAGTGTGCTGTGAGTGATGAGCATTTTACCTGTGATTGTTTCAAGGAGGATATAAAGGCTAAGTTTATGGGCACATAACCTCTACGGTATCGTGTAGAATAGGCAGTGCCGATGCTATTGAAGCATCTCCCTCATCCACTAAGCCAAGATAGAAGAGAACAACCAGAAAAAAATGGGATCATATGTTATTATAAAATCATTTGAAATTCACATATACACTGATTCTCGTTACACTTAAGCTTATATACAGAGGAACAGATGAACAGGCTATCAACGTCTTTATGCCACGAGCAGGAACACAACCTAACGTGATGTTACTCATGGATACAAGTGACAATAAATAGTCCCACATTTATTATCCTGTTTTATGGATATTACTATATTTCTTAACCAACACATAGTTAAGCAGACATGATATTTCCACAAACAGTAAAGATATATCAGAGACAGATTTCCCCTTTAACTTTAGATTAAATGTTCTGTCATTTGCACACTGATCACGATGCTTCATGGGCTAATGATAATGGATAAAATCAATTCTGCAAAATGATTTTAAAAAATTCCAGGTGCCAGTTAAATAAAGTGACTGAAAAGAAGGTCAAATGGTAATTACACGATACTAACTTTTGGTAAACAGTAACCTTCAATTCAAACAATATTTTTACATATAATTTATACTTTTTATTGGTAGACAGTCAACTGTTAGCCTGAGATTAAAGCAAACAGTTTCTAATGTGACTCAGTTTATAAAAATTTACTAGAACTCACCTCATAAACAGAAGTTTCTATGCTGCCAAGAGTTGGATTCTTTTCTACCTGTTTATATGAAAAAAAACATAAATTGTGTCCAAAAATAAGATCATATTTAAATTTACTACTGAAACTAACCTATGCAGAAAGTATTTGTGTTACAAAAAAAAACCTTCAGTATACATATTAGGCACATATGAATAATGCATTTTTAATTGTTTTGCTTATTATCTTAAACAGTGCTTTGTAACAGATCTTGGGGGCAGAAATAAGTACTGTTGAACATCTCTTTTAATAATAAAAAATGAAAAGGAAAAGTGCACTATAAAAATTATACTGAGTCACTGATATTAACTGAGGCTGTTATTTCTGTAGAAATACTTCGGAAAAAATACATAAACAAACAAAAACAAAATTTATATAAAGAAACTTTTACTGCATATTGTAGAGTTTTGAGTATACAAGACATAAAAAAGTTAGGTAAAAAATATTACTATAATGTTAATATTACAAACTTTTAGGACATGTAATACAGTAGACAAAAATAAAAGTTTACAAAATGAAACAACTGCTAAGTGCTACAGAAGTTATTATTTTCCTAATCTGAAAATGTATTTCCAAACATACTTACCTTCGCTGACACTTATAGCTACTTCTCGATCTTCATCTTTGCTCCAGTCCTTTACACTCCTCAACTGCCCTTGGCAATATCTAATTTCAAAAACTTTACACCGGCCCTCTAATTCCCTCTATGTAGGTACTGTATATAAACACAGTATGTCGACAATATAATTACTTTTTTTTAAACTTACTCCATCCCGGTCACTAACACCGACTCTTAGTGAAGAAGAAGGGAGGGAGAGTGTCAGCGGAGTTAAGTATGTTTGGAAATACATTTTCAGATTAGAAAAAATTATAACTTCCAAACATACATACCTCCACTGACACTTATAGTTAGAATCCCACATTGAGAAGGTGGAGAGGCCGGTGAGGGCATAGTTCATACAGAAAGTGTCTGCACAGAACAAAAGTGTACCATGAGAAGTGGTACCCAAGCAGGAAAAACTGCACTATATCCAGAACAGGTATGCTCTTCACCCAGAAATACAGAAAAGTGAAAAGGGTGGAATATTACACAAGTACGTATGATTGGCCAGCCATACCCACGCAGCCAAGGTTCCATGACTCAGGGCTGGATTTAAGGTGTCAGGTACCAATATCCCCTATTGGTGGCAATGGCAGTTGGACTGCAAATATATATATATCTTTGTGATAGGATCCCCACTAGCAGCCACAGAGTGATGTGTTTCGAACCACGGATTTATGAAAGAAAAAGAGCAGCACCAAAGTGGACAATCCTTTTGATCAACCTGAGGAAGTCCAAAAGGCAACATCCAAGGCCTGGATTGATGGGATCATATATGCCATACTCCACACAAGGTCCAGAACTCATCTGGTCTTGATTTACGAACAGTCATTTTCACTCCCCAACCAAGTGGACAAGGAAATACCCATGGAATTATGGAGAGGACATGGAACACTGTTCCACCAAGGGCCTAAGATGGGACCGCGTTGCATTTGGATTTATGAGGAGATAGTGGATCCCCTGCATGAACAACCTAAGATCTGACAGTGTTCATAAAAGGGTTTGAGCATACCCCCACCAGATAATTTAGCATCAAACTGGACCAGTTTTACAAGTAGGCTCCCGCATAGGTTGGTCCTGCTCCTACTGACATCTGGGTAAAACTTTCATGGACCCAGAATAGGAGGGTCCCCAACTTTGCCCTCTTCTCCGAGTGTGGAGAAAACTCAACACTCCAAAGGAAAATCCTCTGTCTACCACTCCAGCGACTGGGAACTGGGTGTGGTAAGGACTCGCTAGCTCCACTAATACCAGCGGGAGGGATATGTGTGCAGTGGGGAGTCCTGAGGAACAGGGCTCCAGAGACAGTGCAACAGGTGAACCATGTTGCCTAAGTTTTAAAAGCAAACCAATCTCGACTGATTCAGCTCTAAGATCAGCAGGAACTGGCAAAATCCCCTTCAGCTTTAATCATGTTGAAAATATAGTTCAAAAAGTTGAAAAAAAGATTCCATGGTGAAACGAGGAGGCTGTAGAAAGAGATTGAGTCTAGACAGAATGATGATAAGATGCCAATCTCTAGTGTTCTTAATCACTAGAAAAAGATGAGAATAGAATCTTGGATGAATGGGAACGACCTTCTGAATGGGTAGACACCAACACCACTGGTGCCATCCAGACCTTTTCCGAAGATACCTTAGAATACAGACGGAACCGATTCTGTAAACCAAAAGGACAAGGTGTCGAAGGTGAGGGCCACGTGATGAGAATGATCGATCCTCCAGAATTAATCGTTGGAGTAGAAGAGAGGCAAGTAGCCAATGACGATAAAGAAAACTGCAAACGTGCCGTATAAAATCAGGCTTTAAAAGTTTCTGGGACTCCAGCAAACTAGTAAGGCTGAAAAAGGGGCATCTCCTGGAAATCACAAAAAGGAGTATCAATTTACAGTAGTAAGAAATAAATGAATCCTGGAACCCCATAGATCCAACAACAAATCCAAATGTTGAGTGTCCAAATATGCTACAGCCAAAAGATGATAAGCCAGGGCATGTTGTTCTGATAAACGAGGGGAGCAAGGCATAGCAATACTCTCTCATAATTCCATTGCAAACATCCCAGCATACATGGCAATATCAGGGAAAGGAGGAAGAACTAAGTAATACCCCCCCCGAGGTCTATCTGACAACAAAGCAAGGTAGACTCAAAAGCAAGGGGATGAATTCCCAAAGCTTCACAAACTCCCATAACTAATTACATAAAAAAGGCAGAAGATGGCCCTAGTGAAAGAAGGAGCAGAAAACAGTATCTAAATTCTCCTCAGTATATTCAGGTTCATGATGAAAAGCCAACTCTGAACCCCTGTGGAAAACCCCCGGGCTGCATGAAGGACTCCAACTAAAACCGAATCTGGTCACGGACAGCCTACACCGATAATGGACCCTTCCCCTGACGCAGACTACCACCAGACAACAAAGGAGGAATGGACAAACCCTCATGCCAAAAACGTTACACAGGAACTCATGCCTGCATTTTTTTTCTTTTTTTGAATCACAAAAGAAAATCAACAAAATATCAGCAACAAGAAGAAAAAAAACCACCAGACTACTGTCACAATGCTTCAAAAGAAAATGTTAACCACAAAACATAACTCCTAGCACTAATGCTTTGTCGAGAAAAAGTGATTATATTGTTGACATACAGTGCTTATATACAATACCTGCATAGAGGGCATGTCAGGGCCAATGTAAAGTTTTGCAAATTAGATATTGCCGAGGGCAGTTGAGTGAGGTATAAACACTAGAGCATGCAAACACGATGTTTAGATGGCAAATATGAAGACTGAGAAATAGGTATAAGTGTCAGTGGAAGTATATATATATTTTGGAATTTGGCATATATCAGGCAGTGACTAAAAATAAAAGTTTAACACAAACAATAAATTCTATGATAATTTGAGAGAAATTTGTTTATGTGTTTATTTTTCCTCTAATTCCTCCTAGGTTTTTACATTTGGACCTGTTAAATATTGTTTAATCAACGAGAAATGATTCAAGATGCTTTAAGAAGTTATTTTTATTTTAGAATGCATAGATTTCATAGCTCCAATCATGGCTAAATATAGATCAGTCAGAGGGGTGGCCACTAGGGGTATTAATGGTATTTCTCCAGTTTCTTCTTTCATTACATGGGGTATACATACAGTCTATGTACTTTCATACATTACTGGCATAAAACATATTGCTGGTGTGAACATGCTTTATAGATATACTGGATAGGTGAAATGAAGAAAAAATGTCACTGGCCACTACTGAACTGGACCTCCCTTGAACTTCTGAGATTAAACAATTTTTGGAATACTAAGTTAATTTTTATTATTACTGGCATACTTAAGGCAAAAACAAAACCTGTTTATATCCATAACTGGTAAAACATTAATTCTACAATTGTGTTTTGTTTTCAAATCCTACCAATCATTTTAGGAAATTATTTTTCACATATTGTTTATATATATACTTTCAAGATAAGCACTTATATTAAGTGATGATTTTAAGTCACATGTTACTTAACTCTTTTGTATAAAAAAAAAAAAAAACTAAAATAGAAAGTAAAATATAGTTTAAATTATCAAGTCTAGAGGATATGACAATTTTATTCTTATGTACTTTTAATCTATATCTTGCTAGCAAAATGCAGAGACAAAAACAGCCTCTCACCACGCATCACACAAGTACATCTGCTAGTATTTTAAAACTTGGGATATATCATGCATTATCCACAAGAAAAAACAAAAAACACTACCAAATATTACAAAAATTAGGATATGTCACAAAAAAATGTTTTGAAAAATAATCCCTTCACACAATGATCAGAAATACAAATATAGAAATTAGATCACTGCTAACTTTTTTAAAATTTAGGGTATGTCACACAGTAATCGCAAATAAAAGTTTAGAAATTAGATCATTGCTAATAATTGCTAAACTTGGGATATATTACAAAATGTCTAATAATAAGTTTTAAAAAATATTATGAAATTTTGAAGAGTAATTAACCCTCATGCTACTGATAGATCAGTAGATAGAAGTCCTAAAAATAAATTATAGCTTAAAATGTTTAAATAAGAAACATATTAAACAGTTAAGAAATATATAGTCATAGAAAATTATCAACTACTATAAAATTTGAAACATATTGTACATAATATGTACAATATGTCCTAATAACCTAAGTAAAGGTTTTTCATAAAAATGAATTAACAAACCCTTCCTTAGTTAAATGTTCATCTTCCCACTTAAAACTAACTCAGCTGACAAAATTCATGATACACATGCCAAAACAGTACATACAGATTTTAAACTGACAATAACATCATTATACATCTATTTATATTGACCTTTCAGCTGTGTTCTGACTAACATTACAGAAGTTGCAATCTCATGTTACCATTTCCAACATGATAATACTGGCACTTACAAAGTGATCTGTCTTGGCTTTGTTCTAGTAGATCAGTATTTTCTACAATACAGTCACGTTTCAGTTATATTACATGTGTATGTATTATTACTATTTACAAATAAGTTCTTCAATTTCAGTTATTTTTCTGAAAATATGGAATAGTAAATAAAGAAATATAGAAAAGAATGATCTCTACTACTTACGATTGTAAAATGTTTGTACTAGCTTGCCCATACCTTGCATGTTAAGCCTTGCTGAATTTTGCACATGGAGGATGTAAAACAAAATGACTTTTTTGGTTTTATATATGCATTTTGAAATAACAAAAATTTTTACATTACTCTATCAATATCACAGAATTACACTGTAATTTATCAGGCTTATTAACTAAGTTTTATTTCGGTGTAAAATAAAATTGTTTTTGAACACTATTTTCTTTTTCCAAAAATGGGAACAAAAAAGATTAATCTTGGGGACATCTTGAATAGGCTGAGAAAACCCACATGGTGGAAATTATGAGGTTTTGATTGGTTATAAAAACATGACAGAGTGAAGAGTGTGTACGTAAGCAAGTATTTCCAAAAATAGAAAATGTGGGTGAAGCTACTGTGTTTGATTCACTAAAAATAGTCATATCTCAGTAAATAAAAAAGATAGATGGTTCTAATTTTATATTCTAGCTTGTTAATATCAGTAATTTGAGTTTCTAGTTCATAAGAAACTACAAACTTTGTAACTGGACATCACATACATTTAGTTTAAACTAAAGGTGCATTCAACATACCACGTGAAACACAAAATCGATATTTAGGAATTTTGTTTTAATATTTACTTTAAAATTAAGAAATTAACTAATGTATAATACTAAAATTTGAATTATAATCTACAATTTGAAACCAAATTTACTTACGATACATTCATAAAATAATAGTTCAATAACATTTTGAATGTAAGTCTACAAACACGATGACATGCACTTTGGCCCCTGACCATAAGAAAACCAGTAGAGATAGGGATAAACAAGGTTCATCAATTGGTGATTTGAATATGCAGAAATTGGATAAGTCAGGTTCATCAATTGGTGATTTGAATATGCAGAAATTGGATAAGCCAGGTTCATCAATTGGTTATTTGAATATGCAGAAATTGGATAAGCCAGGTTCCTCAATTGGTGATTTGAATATGCAGAAATTGGATAAGCCAGGTTTATCAATGGGTGATTTGAATATGCAGAAACTGGATAAGCCAGGTTCATCAATTGGTGATTATATGCAGAAATTGGATAAGCCAGGTTCCTCAATTGGTGATTTGAATATGCAGAAATTGGATAAGCCAGGTTTATCAATGGGTGATTGTTAGGATGAAGGCAACATAAACTCACTTCTCTATTAGTCCAGTTTGTGCCTTCATTAGTAATATTGTATAAAAATTTATAAAGAACAGTGTTTAAAAGTGCCTAATGCCATTTAAACTTAATTCATAATGACAAGTAGGAATGAATATATATATATAATCTAGTTAGTTATAGTAATATAAGAAGTTTTAACGGTACAAAAAGTACTGAAACAAAATATTCAAAGTATAAAAACTGAGTTACTTAAAATTTAAAATATTTTATCCGTAATTTGGCAAATCACCGTAATTATGTTCGTCTGAGCTTGTATTCCATTATACGAGTCTGTTGTACACAAAAAATCAGCTGTGTTACAAATATATTTATATTCAAGTAAGCCTGTGAGTTCTCGATGTCAGTCACACTCAGATGCTGACAAGTCAGGGAGTAAGTTAAGGTTCGTGTGAAGAATAAAAATACTTTTGTCCATCACACAATTCTCATAATCTCTGAAATGCATATCAATAGTCTTTTTTTGAATCCTGTATATTTTATCTGGTTATTTACTCTCCTCTACTATGAACTGTCAATAAATAAGCAGTTCAGGGTAAAATGAATAGTTGATAGCTCTGATATCAAATGTCTAATCCTGTGTTGAATGGCATTCTGTAAAAGGTCATAACTTGTGCAATATGACCACCCCCTCTGAACATTGGGTTAATCAAATTACAATAACAATGATTGTCACAAAAGGTGAAAGGTCGTGGCAATGCACACTTTTCCCCCTACCTGTACGTATATGTTAAAGTAGTCCTACAGACGCATTTTGATAGGATTAAAATATGGTTAATCACAACTAGCACAGCCAACCTGACAATGTTAAAATAATTCTTTTTATGTCCAGAAAGAAGAAAAAGGCTCCCACCCAAGAAGATATATAATTGAATATGGTACAAAATGATGTGTACAAAGATGAAAGTATATAAAAAGACATCAGCTTCAAATATACATACAGTGTATAAAGTTACTGAAAAAGTTACAAAAATAGAACCAGAGAACATTAGCTCAATGCCAGAAGGTGGTTAATGTGTAATATATTGTACCAATGTTGATTTGAGGCCATAGTTATTGGACAGGAAAAGCTTCTATGAACTCTCTATCAGTTGAAATTGTAGCTCTAGCAGAATTTCTGCACAAATAGTAGATAAGTACTTCAAGTTACTACACCAAGACTTTAAAAAAAAAAAAATCCACTGGAGAAACTGTTGTGAGTCATTTAAAAAAGAATATCTAAGTGCTGCCCCACTATAGTGTAGAGGGCCTGTTCAAATTTTCCACAGCATGTCTGGGAACAAAGGTTTTATTTACCCTGATATAGACGATGATACTGGATTGACGCACTTATCTCGGGGATATGTACATATATTGATTTACAACTGTAGCAGATACAAAAATAAAATAAGCTTATTGGATTCCCATTTCACTTTAAATAATGTTCATCTGAATGAAAATCATTTTGATTCTGAAATCAGTGATCCTCAGCTTTTAGTGAGTTTTCTGTCAGATTAAATTAGGTCATTTTTGTTTTACATATTTCCGCATGACAGCTGTCTGTTTTCAAATTATTTATAACCTACTTATTTCTAGCATGTTTTTATTTTTATTAATATTTTTTATTCTATTTCATTCTAATTAATAATGTCTTTCTAATATGTATTTGTGTACTCTCTTTATCTCATAAAACCTATAGTCCACTCTAGTTTCCATATTTAATATAATACTTTGATCTTTTTTTATATTATTTCTTTAGTTCTCCTTCCCTCCTCAATAATCATATTTCTTATATCCACACACACACCTCTTTTCCAGTCTTTTTGCACAATGGAAATTAGTTACTCTGGCGAGATTCTCAAATGAACGACATTCAGAACACTCCTATACATATAAAACATAACAATATTCATGGTGCATACATTCACTCACCATGAAACTCAAAAGACCTGTTAGTATAGTTGATACAGACCAAGCAGGATTCCAAGTGTCAGGATGGAAATCACTGATGCTAAGACAAAGTCTAGTGTTACACTTGAATCTACCATTTGGTGTAATCATGTAGATGCTAGGGGGTTTGAATGGAAACTCTCCTGGAAACACCAATTTACCATGGTATATTCCACCTATGAAATTAAAAAACATGATACTTCAATATTTCAACACACTTACGAAATTTTACTGGCATGTATAAAAAACATCAACAAATAAAAATAAAATCAACTTCTTAACAGCATTTGTAATGAAATTATAACTTTTAATTTTTAGAAAGGGTATTAAACTAACCCATTTTTATAATCGCAAACACTTAAAACCAGATCTTTCCTATTTGATGTTATATCGTAGAATTATTGTGTATTTGCTATGAAGTTCAATAAAGTTCCTGTCCTGTTGAGCATGGATGGACAAAATGGCAGATGAAAATATGCATTCAAAGCTTATAAATGCTACTGATCTGAAGTCTACCACCATGAATAAGTTGGGAAAATATTTTTTATATTTAATAGGCCATATTGTATACCATGCATGAGCAAAACAATTGTTGCATAAGTTTAGCCTACAAAACTATACATTTTTCAAGAGAGTCAAGTTTCATCATGATCAACTTTGTATCATTTATTCCATCAATGGCCTTTTAAAATGAAGGTACACAGTACTATAAAATAAATAATGAACTGTTAAGGTACATTTTCTTAAGCAGTTACAGAAACAGAAAAGATGATATAGCTTGAATGAACAACTAAAACTACATTTTACAAGTCTTATGACAACTGTAGTAAATGGAAATTAAGAACATTTCTGGTTTAAGAGAGCTCAGATCTGTTTCATGAAAGGTTTTTATTTTTTATCCTTGGTGATTGCTCTAGAACTCATACATATTCGTTCAGTAACTTCTGTACAGTTATAGTGTTTCTTCTGACTAAATTTAATAGCCAATGAAATTATCTATGTGACATCTAGAGAATTTCTGTTAGTATGTTAACACAAAATCAAGAGTAATATGACCTCTTGACCTATTATATTGTTTCTCAAATTAGGAGTTTAAATTTCTTTAAAATGACAATAAATCAGTCTTCTAAATGGCTGATATAGATATTCATTTGAAGACATTATCTGCTGAATTTCAAAATGAAAGTTAACATTTTCCTAAACTGAAAATGTATTTCCAAACATGATTTCATCATTATGGAGACTCCTATGTGTCAAATGGCTAGGGCGTAACACACTGTAACTGGGAGTTCGACCTCAATAAACACCTGGCAGCATCTGGATTTGTACATCAGGTCTGCAGTAGGAAGTGTCTCGACATTATGGCCATCTAGCATGCTTATAGGACATACAGTAAAGATTTAATACAAAGCATACTTGGTCAGGCACCACTCACCACAGAATGGGATCCATAACTTATGAGCAAGATGCCTCTGTAGAGAAAATTAGAAATGAATAATTATCAGTCATAAAGAAACAGAAGTTGTAAAATATCCATGTGATGGAGGCAGTGAGATGTAAAGATTTGCAGGATAGTCTACACACCTGTGCTGATTATGTCCTCCAAACGAAGATGAAAATGGTCAGCCAGGGACATTTTCAGATGATGGATTTCATGAAAAAAGGCCCAAAAAAGGTGACAATTGTCCTGAGGAAGGAAAGAATATGCCAGTTGAATGACCTGACAAATCCAACCCAAAAGGGTATAGGGGGGAAAGATTACTTGAACTGGCAGGATTCCAGGGAATAAACAAACATACACAGGAACCACAGAAGGAATCAGTGTGTGTCAACTACCATCAGAGGGATCTGACTGGACATAGGAGGTGATCTGGATACAAACAGTCAAAAAAAGGTGGGAGAGGAGAGAAATGGGAGTGAAAGTGGAGTTACCCTCCCGGGCAGCAGAGGTCTTTGGTAGAAAAGAACAGTTGGGAAAATGGAGAACATAGGAAGAATGAAACAAAATACAGCAAACATCAATCGCAAAAACATTGGCAAGACGACAAACACACATCAATAACAAGAGGAATAGTGACTTCAAATGGAGGGCAAGTAAGAGCATGAAGGACAATAGTGAGGTTCCAATCAAAAAGTGAGGGCAGAGAGAACAAACAATGGAAAAGGAATGAAATAAAAGATACAGGAAATTGGAACATTGATGCAAATTCAGTAAACCAAAAAGTGGTAGACAAAGCCACTCGGCAACATAAGAAACCGACAAGCTCCTGTCATAAAGCCATGTGAAAAAAATAAACAAATGAGGAATGGTAAGACAAGAAGGATTGTAACCCTGACACAGAGACTAAAAGCAGTATATAGTCCACTTATACTGGAAAACTGCCAACGAGGACAAAAAATTGAGGAAGCAACATGCCTGGAATGGCCTGACCTTCTAGCTGGGGACCAGATGAAAAACACGTGTGAAGATGGAGTGCAGGTAGAGAAAAATAACACATGCCAGAGTAAGACTGACAAAAGAGCATGTGCGGCAAAAAAGAGAAGGATGGGTGGTGACACCAACAGCCGTTGTAGAAGTGGAAACAACATCTGAGCTGGCCAATATGGTTCCATCAACAGATTGTCCAAATGCACCATCACCACTTGTCCCCAAAAAAACAGCATGAAACATATAACAGCCACTGAACAGCAAGAAGCTCCAAGATATTGAAATGGAGAGTGGATTCTGGAAGAGTCCACCTTCCTGACACTTCCAAACCACTGAGATATGTTCCCCAACCAGAAAGTGAAGCATCAGTAAATAAATGACAATACGGATGATGTGGAGGAAGAAGAACCCCCATGGTAGTACTGGTCTAATGTATCTTCCAGGCAAAGTCTGTAAGTAATAGAGAGGGAAGGGAAAGAGGAGCCTCGAAGGGATCTCAAAAAAGGTCCATTGGTCGATTAAAGCCCAGTGTGGATGGCACATGTGGGCACGTCCAAGGGGTATGAGTGCCTGAAGAGAGGCCCACATCCCCAAAAGAGATAAAACCTCTCATGTAGAAGGAGAAGGTGAGAAGGAGACCTTGAAACTAGCTGTTTCATATCTCATAAGCAAAGTGGAGAAGTCTGTGCTAAACTAAAAAGTGAATTGAAAAACACACTCAGATGAAGCAGAAACTGGTAGGTGTGAGGGACAACTTTTCCACCTTGATGAGCCAACCAACTCAGGCAGCTTCCTGAAGAAGAAACCGAGTATGGAGGGCAGAGTCAGCCTGCGAGGATGCCAGCAGTAGCTAGTCATTTGGTAATGGTGGAAACAAAGACCCTGGGAATGAAGCAGTCAAGCGAATGGCTGAACAACGTGGAAAAAAACATAGAGGCTGAGGCTAGGCCAAATGAAAGTGCACAAAACTGAAAACACACCCGTGATAAACAAATCAAAGGAAATGTCAGGATGCTTGGGAGATGGAAATTTGCAGATATGCATCACCCACAGACCTGGAGTGAAAACCCAATAGAGAGTTAAGTACAACTCCATGGGGAACTTGGAAATGATGAAGAAGCAATTCAGAGATGACCTATCAATCACTGGGAACCATCCTTCTATCTTTTAGGGAACAACAAATAGATGAGAATAAAACCACAGACAAGAAATATCTCCTCATTTGATGGTACCCTTTTGAATTAATTCCTAACTGACTCTGACAAATGCTGGCAGGAAATAGGATCCTGCAAAGGGGAGAAGAAATAGGATGGAGAGACAATGGTGGAGAAAACAGAAAACAGAGGGCCATACTTTGGGAAAAACCACCTTTAAAACCCATGTATCGATTGTAAAAGTCCTCCAAACATGAGCAAAGTGAAACAGCCTGGCACCCACCAGCCATGACTCGAGCACCAAGTCACTGATGCTAAGTGCCCCGAAGACAGCGACAGACAATCAAGCAATGGTGAAAAGGCAAAGAACAAGCAGAAAGGATTAGCAAAGGGAGTAGAAGTAGGTGGGTGTGACACTGATAGAGGAACAGGAGGTTGAGACAAACGAGATGACAAAGAAGAAATGGAGTGTGGTAAATGGGCTGTTTCAAGCCTGGACTACAAATTATCAGGAAGATGGAAAAATTGAGGTTGGGAAAAAGAAACAGAGATATTAGGGTTCAAGACTAAAAAGGGTAGTTGGCAAAATGAAATGCAAAAACCTGATCATCCAATGGACATGGGGGATGAGACACACTGACTCTGATCTCAGCTGTTCCCCAAAACTACTAGCATGAACCCCAATATCTGATTGAAGATGGAAAACTCAAATATTGACCCAAAGTTTTGTCACTAAGGAGGGTAGAGGTAGAATCACAGGAAACAGGAGATAAAGACAAAATTGAACATATCTGATTTATCAAGTCAACAAAGGGTGAAGGAGGCCTGGTCAATTCCCCCTGAAATGACACATAACTGAGAAGCATAAACAGGAGGGGGAAAAAGGCTATCTAAATTCTCATCCTCCCTGTCAGACACATCAAGTGCAGGCAAGACAGTATACTCTTCATGTGGTTTTGAATGTTGAATAAAATGAGATAATTCTCTAAGGATCATAGAAGTCATATCATCAGCTGATAACTGTGGGCCTGACCCTGAAGACGTGGTTAATAATCCTGCATGAGCAGGAATTGTAGTAGCAGTATTAACTACTTGAAACTGTGAGTGCATACTTTCAAAGTATAAACTCAAAGTAACGAGAAAACAAAGTAAAGAGAAAAACAAAATTGCTCTAAAGTTAATGATTCCCAAACTTGCAAGCGAAAACAAACATGTCTTAACAGTAAGACTACCAGTTGAGAAATGATTATTAGAAATAGCGCTAATAGTAGTGTCTCACTCCATTTGGTGGAGGGTTGCTGCATGATCATTTACATGTAGACATGCAGAAAGAAGTAGCAGTTACAAGGCTAGTGGAGACAGAAGGCAGTACTAATCAAGAAAGCATTTTGTGAGACGAAGTAAGAACTGAATGAGCTGATAACTTATAGTTGCAAGAGCAAGTCTATTGTAATGAAAAAAAAACTATAATAACAATCAATCTTAAAGTGTTGATTAATTGGTTAATCATAAAATAAATTAGTAAAAATCACCCAATACTTGTTTAAAATAGGTCAATTATCAGTAACAGAAGTGTCAAATTTTGACTTTTAAA